ATGTTTGCTGGATAAAAATGGAGGTTTTATAATATCCTTACTAGCTAGGTACTATGAGGATGGGAGGAGAAAGGAATACAGGTATGTTTGCTGCTCTCAAGAGGCTCACAGAAGAATTGAGATATATTATCATTATAATAGAAAAGGTGTTCTAATAGAGATATGTACTAGGTGCTTTTTTAGTACAGAGGAAAGAGTATCTACTCTTGGAGAAAGAAGTGAATATGTTAGGGAGTGCTTAGAGATGGTGAAAGAGATTTTGAATCCGTTTGTAAGAATATTTTGCAGGTCAAATGTGTCCTGGAATTAAGTAATATGCTCGCTTCATTCTTCTCTGTCTAGTGAAATGTATGCCATCTTTTGGCAATAATCAATCTTTTTGGTGTCTTAAGCCAGGGTTCTAAAAGCAAAATCTTTATCATATTTGAGTGTCTTTTAGAATTTTGACAGCCTTAAACAGTGGCAGAAATTACTTCTGTTAATATTTTTGTATTTCATCTTGCAGAGGATTATGTGAATGTATTGTTTCCCTTCTTTAGGGAGGTGGTTGACTCAATGGTTCAGCATTTTAAAGTAACTATATTTGGAGACCGTAGACCAGTTTATGATGGAAAAAGAAGTCTTTACACCGCCAATCCACTTCCTGTGGCAACTACAGGGGTAAGATATGCATTCCTGTATTGGAAAGGTATATTTTTGAAGTGTCTCCTTTTGCACGCATTTATTACCATTTTTATTACAATCCATATGTATGTGAGTATTTATCACTGATTGTTTTTAACTTTTTGTTTTGAAATAATTTCAGACTTACAGAAAAGTTGCAGTAATCATGCAGAGAACTCTCATACACCCTTTACCTAGATTCACTGAAGTTCTGAACATTTCCACGTTTGTTTTATTTATTTTTCTTTCTCTCTTATACATATATACTTATTTTTTCCTGAACCATTCACAAGTAGGTTGCATATACCGTGCCCCATTAATATTTATTTTATTTTATTTATTTATTTTGAGACAGGGTCTCGCTTTGTCACCTAGGTTGGAGTGCAGTGGTGTGATTTCGGCTCACTGCAACCTCCGCCTCCCAGATTCAAGCGATTCTTGTGCCTCAGCCTCCTGAGTAGCTGGGATTACAGGCACGTGATACCTCTCCTGGCTAATTTTTTGTATTTCTAGTAGAGACGGGTTTTGCCATGTTGGCCAGACTGGTCTCAAACTTGACCTCAAGTAATCCACCCAGCTCAGCCTCCCAAAGTTCTGGGATTTTGGGAGCGCCACCATGTTTGGCCAGTATTTAATACTTGAATGTATATTCCTAAGAACAATGATAAAAACCCTTGTACAGTTATCAGGTTCATTAAATTTAACATTGATATGATACTTTTATTTAATCAACAATACAAATTCCGGTTTTACCAATTTTTCCAATGATGCCCTTTAGCATTTTTTTCCCCCTCTGTTACAGAATCCAGTCCAAGATCATGTTACAAATACCATGTCTTTCTTTCCCCAGCCTTTTTTTTTCCTTTCATGACAGTAACATTGTTGAAGATATAGGCAAGTTATTTTGTAGAATGTCCCCCAGTCTGGGTTTGTCTGATACTTCCCCTTGATTACATTCTGGTTATGCGTTATTGGCAGGAATGTTATATAACCATTCTTTCCTTATCATATCAGGAAGTACACAGTATGTATTTGTTCCATTATTGGTAATTATTGGTGATGTTAACTTGGTCAGTTGATTAAATTGGTGTCTGCCAGTTTTCTCCTATTGGGGTATTCTTTTTCTCCTTGTAGTTAATAAGCATCTTGTAGGGAGATTCTTTTTGTAATTGTGATAAAACATATGTAACATAAAATTTACCATCTTAACCATTTTAAGGTACATTTCAGTGGTATTAAGCACATTTACATTGTTGTATAATTATTATCACCATCCATCCCCAGAATTGTCTTTATCTTACAAAACTGAAACTCAATATCCATTAAACAGTATCCATTGCTCCCTCCCCTCAGCCTTGGCAACCACCATAGTACTTTCTGTCTCTGAATTTGACTATTCTAGGTTCCTCATGTAAGTGAAATCATAGATTGTTTGTCTTTTTATGACTAGCTTGTTTCACAGTTTATCCACATTTTTGCATGTATTAGAATCTCCTTTTCAAGGCTGAATAATATTCCATTGTATATATATAACACATTTGGTTTATCCTTTCATGCATCAATGGATCCCTTTTGGCTATTGCAAATAATCCTGCTGTGAACATAGATGTAAAAATGTTGAACTCTGCTTTCAGTTCTTTAGATATATACCCAGAAGTAAATTGCCAGGTCATGTGATAATTATTAATTTTTTTGAGAATCTGCTATATTGTTTTCCAGAATGGCTGCATCATTTTACATTCCCACCAACACAAAGAGTTCCAAACTCTCACTTCCATGCCAACACTTGTTTTCTGTTTTTTGTTTTGTTTTGTTTTCTAATAGTAGCCATCCTAATGGGTGTGAGATGATATCTCATTGTGGTTTTGATTTGCATGTCCCCCAACAATTAGTGATGTTGAGTATAACTTTGTAGGCTTATTGGCCATTTGTATATCTTCTTTGGAGAAATGTGTAGTCAAGTCCTTTGCCCATTTTTTGAACTGAGTTGTTTGTTTGGAGTTTTGGGTAGTGAGTTGTAGGAGTTCTTTACTTTTAGATTTTTAATTTTTTTAGCTAAACTGATGAATACCATTGTAGGAGTTCTTTATATATATTCTGGATATTAACTTCTGTATTCTGGATATTAACTATTTATATTCTGGACATTAACTTATCAGATATATAATTTGCAAACCTTTTCTTACATTTCACAGGTTGCCTTTTCACTCTGTTGATTGTATCTGTTGATACACAGAAGTTTTTAATTTTGAATGGGAAATACTTTTAAGGATCCTGTTGTTCATTAGATTCTGATTATTCTTGCTTGGCAACTGATTATTCTTGCTTGAAAGGATTATTACTATGTAGAAGTGATGATTTTCTAATTCTGTCATTCCTTCTGCATATATTCATTAATCTGCTGTAAGGGAGAATTATTTTTTTTCACTCTGTTTATTGATTTCACTGCCCAGATTGTCCCAGATTTGGCCGGTGGGAACTCTTTTAAGCTGACTCCTGTGTCCTTTTGAAATGACATTTTTTGGGGAATACAGTCCTGCATCACCTAAAACAATGAGGATATGCTCTGAGAAATGTGTCCTTGGGCAATTTTGTCATTGTGCTATCATCACAGCATATACTTACACAAACATAAGTGGTATAGCTTACTACATACCTACACCATATAATATGGCTCATTGTCACTATAAACCTATATAGGATGTTACTATACTGAATGCTGTAGGCACTTGTAAGACAGTGGTAAATATTTGTGTATCTAAACGTATCTAAATATAAAAAGGTGCAGTAAAAATACATTGTAAAAGATTGTTTAAATGGTACACCTGTATAAGGCAGCTTCATTATAATCTAATGGGACCACCATGTATGGTGTGGTCCATTGTTGACCAAAAATCATTATGTGGTGCATGACCCTACTTCATTACTTTCTGACACAAGATGTTCCTGGTTTATTTTATGTTTTCTCTGCTGCAGTCCTGCAACTAACCATTTCTCTGAGGATCTCTGGTTTCTTTTAGTTGGCAAATGCAATTTTGAAATGAAAATCTGGGTATTGGTATGTTCACTGCTGCTGGGGTATATGTGCTTCTAAGCCCTTTCAATGGATAGAGGTAGGAAATATATAAAAAGTAGATATATAAATAAAACGGACAACAAAAACATATTACACTTTATATGGTAAATCTAACACACACACATATATATAGAGGAAATCATGAGTTCACACCTGATTCTTCCAATTCCAGTCTATACTCCATGGGATTCTTCCTTTCCTCACTCCATTCCATATTTGTATCTTTCTTCTTTAGTTAGATTCCTGGCTCCTCAAAGCATCACCACTCCTTCTCATTTGCTCAGTCCTACAGTACATATAAAATAGTTTGTGAATTACTATACTCAGACCACTACAGAACAGAAACCTGCTAATGAATTCAAGGCTTTATTTTGCATGCAATTCTTCTAAATCCACCCTTTCTCTACCCCTGGAATGAAGACTGTCGTCAGTATACATACTGTGTTCAAGAGTTACTTGAATTGGTGCTTCCTTTTTCTTTTCTTTCAGTGTGGTTATGTTATTTATATGAAATTTATTTGGGTTCATTTTATTCTGTTTATGATATTCTGTTTAATTTTTTCCCTCCGTTTTTATTATTTATTTATTTAGACAGGGTCTCGCTCTGTAACCCAGGCTGGAGTTCATTGGCACACTCACGGCTCACTGCAGCCTCAACCTCTTAGGCTCAAACGATCCTACTGCCTCAGCCTCCCAAGCAGCTGGTGTGCACCACCACACCTGGCTAATTTAATTTTTTGTAGAGACTAGGTCTTGCTCTGTTGCCTAGGTTGGTTTAAAATTCCCTGGCTCAAGCAGTCCTCCTGCCTTAGCATCCCAAGGTGCTGGGATTACAGGCGTAAATTTTTTTTTTTTTTTTTGAGACGGAGTCTCACTCTGTTGCCCAGGCTGGAGTGCGGTGATGCAATCTTGGCTCACCGCACCCTCTGCCTCCTGAGTTCAAATGATTCTTGTGCCTCAGCCTCCCAAGTAGCTGGGATTACGGACGTGCCACCACGCCCTGCTAATTCTGTATTTTTAGTGGAGGCGGGGTTTCACCATGTTGGCCAAGCTGGTCTCGAACTCCTGACCTCAAGTGATCCGCCTGCCTCGGCCTCCCAAAGTGCTGGGATTACATGCGTGAGCCACTACACCTGGCCTTTTTTTTTTTTTTTTAATATGTAGAATTTTAATATGCTTCCAAATGTCAAAATTATACCAAAATGTGTACTCAGAATTGTTCTGTCCTTATTTTTCCAATCCATTCCCTCCCATCCTTTGAAAGTAACTAGTGTCTTTGTTTCTGGTTCACACTTCCTATGTTTCTTTTTGCAGAAGTAAGCAGACATGTGAATATTTCCTCCTTTCTCACACAAAAGTTGTCATAGTATTTGTAATCTTTTGTACTTTGCTTTTTTCACTTAATAGTATAGCTTGGAAATTTATTCCATGGCAGTTTCAAGAGGTTTTCCTCATTCTTTTTTCATAGCTGCATAAATGTTAGAGCATTTAGGGTAGTTTCCAGTATTTTGCAATGACACATAATGCTGGTGTGAGTAACTGTGTTATTTAAATTTTATCGACAAAAAAATAAAATAAATGGTATATTTTAGTCTATTGACTTTTTTATTTTTGCCATGTTTTCTCTTAGATATTTTTATAAGTTAAATCTAAAATAATTGTATTTATCATTTTCAACATTTACCAGTTGACTCTTTTCCCATCAACAGGTAGATTTAGACGTTACTCTACCTGGGGAAGGTGGAAAAGATCGACCTTTTAAGGTGTCAATCAAATTTGTCTCTCGGGTGAGTTGGCATCTACTGCATGAAGTACTGACAGGACGGACCTTGCCTGAGCCACTGGAATTAGACAAGCCAATCAGCACTAACCCTGTCCATGCCGTTGATGTGGTGCTACGACATCTGCCCTCCATGAAGTGGGTGCTTCTGCTTTTTTTCTCTTGAGATTTTAAACTCCCAAGAATGACTTGTGCAGGCTTCTCTTGGTTAAACCTTTATTTGCCGTATATTTTGATTGTTCAACTGAAATGTTGAACAAGAATAGCATCAATACAAATTCATTGACAGGAGTACGTTACAGAAAATTATCTGGCTTTTGCAAGTAACTATACATCATTAGCTTAGCTAATCTTATGAATAATTTTATAGAAAAATATCTCACCCTTTCTCTTAGGATCTAAAAGTCTTAACAGATCTATTTTCAGATGTATTTCTTTCGTTATATTATCTTGCTTTAAAAGTAATTTCACTGTGTATACGACAATATCAAATTGTGTTGAATTGCTTTTCTTTTTCTTTTTTTTTTTTTTTTTGAGACGGAGTCTCGCTCTATCGCCCAGGCTGGAGTGCAGTGGCCGGATCTCAGCTCACTGCAAGCTCCGCCTCCCGGGTTCACGCCATTCTTCTGCCTCAGCCTCCCGAGTAGCTGGGACTACAGGCACCCGCCACCTCGCCCGGCTAGTTTTTTGTATTTTTAGTAGAGACGGGGTTTCACCATGTTAGCCAGGATGGTCTCGATCTCCTGACCTCGTGATCCACCCACCTCGGCCTCCCAAAGTGCTGGGATTCCAGGCTTGAGCCACCGCGCCCGGCTTGAATTGCTTCTCTTAATAATCCTAGGACCTCACATGTGTAGGGTATGCTCCTGTGTGTGACCGCATGTGTACCCATGTATTTTTTATTGTTTGGTTGGGTTTATTTTGAGACATGGTCTCACACTGGCGTCCAGGCTGTAGTGCAGTGGTACAATCATGGCTCACTGCAGCCTCAACCTCCCAGGCCTAAGCAATCCTCCTACCTCAGCCTTCTGAGTAGCTGGGACCACAGGCATGCACCATCACGCCTGGCTAATTTAAAATTTTTTTTTTCTTGTAGAGATGGAATCTCCCTATGTTGCCCAGGTTGGTTTCAAACTCCTGGACTCAAGTGATCCTCTCACCTTAGCCTCCCAAAGTGCTTGGATTACAGGTGTGAGCCCCCACACCTGACTCAGTATGTTTTTTTTAAAGAAAAATAGTATGTCTTGCAAACACATTTATAGAAATAGCTTTTTGTTCAATAATTGTTTACTTGTTAACATTTTTAGGGTTGGAACTGTTAACTTTTTAAAGCCTATTTTTAAGAAATTATTTTAGATAAAATTCATTCTTATTTCAACCAATAGGTTTGATAAAGGAAAATTTAAGTAGATTTTTTTCCGTTTAGAGTGGGTACTTTTTGCTTTCTCAAATTTGGAACATGTTTAGTTTCATACATTCATAATGATGAGCATCATTATGATAAGTTAATTGTGCTCTAGTCTCCCCTTTTCTGCAGATTTAAATACTCGTATGAGAAGGAAAGGATTGAACATGCCATTTTAATTTTTGTAGATACACGCCTGTGGGGCGTTCATTTTTCTCTGCTCCAGAAGGATATGACCACCCTCTGGGAGGAGGCAGGGAAGTGTGGTTTGGATTCCATCAGTCTGTTCGGCCTGCCATGTGGAAAATGATGCTTAATATTGATGGTAAGGGAACTAAAGCCATATTCTGTATTGGGTGGTAGATTTCTATATGATGTGTGTACATGAATTTTGTATATAATTATACATACCGGTATCTCGAAGTAATATTTGGACATGTATTATGATCTACTAGGAAAACCTTTATATTTTTATTACATTTCATTTAGAAAGCCTGTAGAACTTACCTTGGAATGCTGCCAAACATGAAGCAAGCACATGAAGACAGATTTAAAAGCCCTGACAATTATCTGAGCAATCTTCTATTATAACTCACTTTTGCCCTTTTAACTCTAAGCCAACATTTTATTATGAAATATATATATTAAGAAAGATAATTCTGTTGAGCATGGTGACCTCCAGATGTTATACCTACTGCTGGTCTTAATGTGATGCTAATTGCATTCTTGTTTTTAGGTGTTTTCTTACAACATATTTTCAAACTTATATAAAAGCAGAGAGAACAGTATGATGAACTACTGCATAGGTAGCCATTACTCAGATTGTCAGAATTTTTCTACCTTTGCGTAATCCAAGTACATTTCTTCCTCTACGGTAGTGTTTTTAAATCAAATCCCAGACGGCATGTTATTTTGTCCCTACTACTTCAATGTGTACCTCTAAAACTATGGATATTTTCTTATAGCAGCAATGTCATTATTATATGTAGGAAGATTGTAAACAAGCATTTATTTGTACCCTCTAATATCTGTCCATAATCAGATTTCCCTGATTGTCTGAAATATGCCTTTTTCTAGTTAGCTGGTTCTAATCAGAAGCAAAACAAGATCCACACATCACATTTGATTATTATGCCTTTTTCGATCTAGTAGTCCCACTTCCTTCCTTGTTTTCTTGTTTCTTTATGCCATTGACGTTTTACAAAAACTTGGTCACTTGTTCTGTAGAATATGTTCAAATCTGATTTTGTCTTTTTGTTTTCTTGTGTTATTACCTTGTTCCTCTATCCCCTATATTTTCTGAAAATAAAAGCTTAGAAGTTTCATTCCATTCTGGTTCAAAATGCTTATAAGTGCTTTGTGTTGTGTCATATTAGGAAACACAGTATCTAGTGGTCCCGATTTTAGTGATGCAAAAATCAGTCTCTAGGTTCAGAGATTAATCAGTAGATGCAGAGATCTTCCATTGTAAATTTCTTAATTAACTTTTGAATTGCTAATGTTCTGTTCACTGATCATTGTGACCCAAATTATTTATTTCACTAGGGATTACGAACTGGTAAATTTTCTGTTACTCTTTTTGCATTAGGATTTGCATTAAAATTTGCATGGAATTTTTCTGTGGAAAAGCTTCATGTCCTGTTGATAATTCGTAAATGTTTGAAAGCTTTCTTGCTTTCAGACACAGCAGGATATTCCTTTCTCATCTTATATTTCTTGCCCGGTACCTGAAATTAGACATTCCTCCAAGGATCCCTGGATCCTTCCAGATCAGGGCATAGTTTCCTCACTTTTTCAGCTGCACCTACCATTGTGTAATATGTGATTGAGGAGGGGATATATTTAACTAGTTTTCTTTAGATGTATACTAGAGTTATTTTTTACTATTTTCTATTTCACATTATTTTATGTATATTAAGATATGTCTGTAAGATAAATTCTTGGAGGTTAGACTGATGAGTTAAGGGCAAATGTATTAATATTTGTAATTTATATCATTATTACCAGATTGCACTCCATAGAGATTGTAAATATTTTTCATCAATGAATGAGAGTACCAGTTACCTTATATCTTTGCCACTAGAATTGTCAAACTCTTAGATTTTCATCAATCAATTTGCAAGAAATAGTTTTCTTGTGTCCTCTTAATTTGTATTTGACTACCTTTTCACAAATATAAGGGCCACTTGTGTTTCTTTTTTAATGAACTGTTAGTTTATATCTTTTGCCCTTTTTTTTCTATTGGATTTTTAGTCTTCTCATTTACTGATAAAGCTTTATAAATTAAGGAAGTTAGCCCTTCATCTGTTATGAGTTGCAGATATTTTACCTAGGTTGCTATTTGTCTTTTGACTTTTGGTATGGTGGAGTTTTTTTTTTTTTTTTTTGCCATGCAGAAGTTTGTTTGTATGTTGGTATGTACACACATACATATGTATTGGTCAGTCATTTCTTTTATGACTTTTAATATCTGATAGGACTAGTCCCATTTTCTCTTTTCAGGGTTTTCCAGGCCATTCTTATGTATAAGCTTTAGAAATTCCTTGTTTAGATCCAGTGAGTGGGAGAGGACAGATTGTTATTTTTATTGAGATCCTATTAGATTTATAAATTAAGTTAGGACAAATTGGCATCTTTAAGATGTTATCTTTTCTGTCAAAGAATATACTATGTCTTTCTATATGTTCAAGGTTACTTTTGTTTTCTTCAAGAGATCTTACAGCTTTCTTCACGTAAATTTTTCACATTTCTTTTTTTCTTTTCTTTCTTTTTTTTTGAGACCGAGTTTCACTCTGGAGTACAATGGAGTGATCTCGGCTCACAGCAACCTCTGCCTCCCAGGTTCAAGCAATTCTCATGCCTCAGCCTCCCAAGCAGCTGTGATTACAGCATGCACCACCACACTCAGCTAATTTTGTATTTTTAGTAGAGACGGAGTTTCACCATGTTGGTCAGGCTGGTCTCAAAACTCCTGACCTCAGGTGATCCACCCACCTCAGCCTCCCAGAGTGCTGGGATTACAGGCATGAGCCACCACACCCAGGCCATTTCTTGTTATTCCAGGATATTTTCTCCTTTTTGTTGCTATTAAATGGGTTTATAGATACTAACTTGTTATTGCTTATATGTATTCAGGCTTTTGCTTTCTGTATACTTTCTCTCTTTCTGTGTTATTGAAGTCCATTATTGTTTGTGGTATTTTTTCAGGTGATTTTATTGGGGTTTCTAGGTTATAATCATCACTTGCAACTAGTGATAAGTTTACCTCTTCCTTTGGATTTTTATACCTCTAATTTTTTTACCACATTATATAGACTAATCAGACAAGGTAGGATTAAATAGTAGTGATTAATGTGCATCCTTTTTCTTTCTTGCTCTAGAAGCATTAAGTATTGTATGTTTGTATATATTGTCATATTAAGGAATATCTGTTTCTTGTTTTATTAAGTATGTTTATCAAGAGTATGTGTAAATTTTGTCCGATGCCTTTTCAGCATCTATGGAGCTGAAGATGTGATATTTCTCTTCTTTTTAACAAACATTGAACCAAACCAGCAGTCCTAGAGTCTTTTAATTGATGCTGGATTCTGTTTGCTAACACTTTACTTTTATAAATTAAAATGCAAAAGTCTGATTAATCTGCAGCCTTCCCATTTTGTACAGTCTTTGTCAAGTTTTGGTATTATTTCCTAAAAAATTCAGAAGTTTTCAATTTTCTAAAATGTATAACAGTTTTAAAATAGTATTGATATTATCAGCTCTTTTATGATTTTGTAGAATTCCCCTATAAAACCTTGTGACCTAGTGTTTTTTGTTTCGTTTGGTTTGGTTTGCTAGGTAGCTGTTTTAAAACTTCCCTCATTTATTTTGTGAAAATCAGTCTAATAATTTATCATACATTTAAAAATGACTAAAAGTATAATTGGATTGTAACACAAAGAAAGGATAAATGCTTGAGGTAATGGATACCCCATTTACGCTGATCTGACTGTTATGCATTATATGCCTGTATCAAAAGCTCATGTAACCCATAGATATATACACCTACTATGTACCCATAAAAATTTTTTTTAATTAAAAAAAAAAGTCTCTTCAGGGTGTTTAGGTTCACTTTTGGTAGCTCACATTTTACTGGAAAATTATTTATTTTATTCATATGTAATTTAATTATACAGAGTTTTACAAAGTAGTTTCTATTGTTGTTATTGTTATTATTATTATTATTATTATTTTTTTGAGACAGGGTCTTGCTGTGTCACCCAGGCTGGAGTGCAGTAGTGTAATCTTGACTCACTGCAACCTCTGCCCCCTAGGGTCAAGTGACCTTCCCACTACAGCCTCCTGAGCAGCTGGGACTACAGACACATGTCACCACACCTGGCTAATTTTTGTATTTTTTTGTAGAGACAGGATTTTACCATGTTGCCCAGGCTGGTCTCGAACTCCTAGGCTCAAGAGATCTGCCTGCCTTGACTTCCCAAAGTGCTGGGATTACAAGCATGTGCCACCGTGCCCAGCCAGTTTCTATTAGTTTTTGAAATTCTGTGTATATCTGTGGTTTTCCCAGTTTATTATTTTGCATATCTATGCTTTGTTCTTTTCACTTTTTTTTTTCAGGTAGTGAAATTGGGTGGTATTTGTTTTTCTCCATCTTTTTCAAGCTTTCAACAATAAGCATCTATTACTTTTTATCAAAAAATTTTAAAAAGTTATGGAATCATAAATATTTATTTTAGAATACAAAAATAAATATGTATTTTAGAAAACAAAATGTATTGAGTGCTTTCTGATTAAGAACAAAATATAGTTAATGAATGCTATCTGATTGTTTAATTAAATACTTTTATCCTTAGCCTTTTTTCCTATGGCCTGATTTCTTTTTTGGTAACATATTCTTCCCAGTTAATGAATTACTGAAACCTATAATAGAGAATCTTTTCTATTATTCTAGCTCAGGTGTATATTTAGTACTTCAACTTAAATTCTTGGATCAATGAAATAAAATCTTGATGAACTCTTTCTAGAGAAGTAAGGTACCCAAATTTATTGAAACAATTTTTTTTTTTTTTTTGAGTTTTGCTCTGGTGTCCAGGTCGGAGTGTAGTGGCTCGATCTCAGCTCACTGCAACCTCCGCCTCCCCAGTTCAAGCGATTGTCCGGCCTCAGCCTCCCAAGTAACTGGGATTACAGGTGCGCGCCATGATGCCCGGCTAATTTTTTTGCATTTTTAGTAGAGATGGGGTCTCACCATGTTGGTCAGGCTGGTCTCAAACTCCTGACCTCAGGTGATCTGCCTGCCTCAGCCTCCCGAAGTGCTGGAATTAC